CAGATATGCCCACAATCTCAATTCCATGCCAGGTGTACTTTTTTTTAAATTGGATAGAACAGCATTGTTTTTCAAGGCCAGCATCAAGATAACCACTAAGTGTACATAGGGCTGGCTCTTTAATTAAAAAAAAAAAAGGAAGTTCTGCCTGTAACCTTGCTTAGAATTTGAATTCATCCTATTTCAATGAATACTTTTGTTGTTGTTCAATGCGTTTTCAAACTGGTGACCATTCTGCCAATAATGTGAAGCAACGTAATCACAAACATCAAGGATCATTTCGTTCAGTATTTGTGCACCCTCAATTTGTCAACTGTTGCCAGTTTTGTACCGTAAACTTATCTTTTATGTTTTCCCATAACATAGTCCAGTGGATAAACTTTTTGTTCAGAGCTTAGTCTGGCTTCACCCATTATTTCAAGTCAGTTAAACCTGAAAAGGAGTAAAAATTAAGTATTAGCTGTTAAAGTGTATACATTTTGTCCCCCAAAATGTTTACACTCTTTAATTATAAAAGCAGTGTTTGTACTACAACTGTGTATTCAAACTTCCAATAGCATTTTAGGGATGAATTTCTTTTCTTTCTTTCTTTTTTTGTTTGTTAGTTTTTATTGATTTCAGAGAGGAAGGGAGAGGGAGATCAATGAAACATTATGAGAATCATCTATGGGCTGCCTCCTGTCTGCCCCCTACAGGGGAAGGAACCCACAACCGAAAGTCGGGCATGTGCCCCCGATCCGATTGGGACCTGGGACCCTTCAGTCCACAGGTCGAGGCTCTATCCATTGGATCAAACCGGCTTGGGCTGAATTTCCTTTGTTCAAAGCTTAGTCTGGCTTAAAAGAAAGAAACATAAATTGAGCTATCAACTGTTACAGTTTTTGGGATACTCTGTATTTTCGCGGGAAGCTTACATAAATGAACGTATGCGCCAAACCGGACACTGAGAGTGACAGAGGACAGACAGAAACTGTTTAAAACAACCCAGCGATTCTGGGTCAGAAGCCCATTAATTTTCCTAGTACACAGCATAGCAAACAGGCCCACCGCTGCCGCAGGGAACACCCAGCCGTTTTCCATCTCGGGTTGGCGAGCAAATACCGTCCGTAGGAAGAGGGGCGGGGTTAAGTGGAGCCGTAGGCAAGGGCTCCCGGGAGCCGGGCAGATCGGAGAGGCCGATTGGCTGGGCTTCAAGGCGGGGCCAACAGAGAAGGCGCAACAAATTTTCGTCTCCAACTACGCGACTAAAGTGTGTGACGTCACGTCCGGTCTGGTGGGCGGGAACGGGGGGGGAAAACAAAAAGGAGGCCAATGACGCATGCGCTCGGTGTGTCCCGGATTCTGGTGGGTTCTTCCGCTGAGGCGGAGTGAAGTGCTTCCGGGTCACTGCCGGCTGCCGCCTCCCTGCGCGGTAAGTACAGAAGCAGGACTGTGTCTGCAGTCTCTTCGCCCCTTTCTTTCTTCCTCATAGACACCCCGCTTCCCTGACCCGACTCCACCAGAGATCCGGGCTTAGACTGCCCTTTCAATATTAAACTGCGCCAGCTCATTGGCCGCTTCCGCGAGACCAAGCCCCACCCCGTCACACAAGGTCCGCCACTCATTGGTCTCATATCTTGTCACTCAGCATTTCTTCCAGTTAATTGGCCCTATTCAAGCCCCGCTCCTTTCGCCTTTAGCAACCCTATAAGGGTAAATGCGGCTCCGAAACCCGCCCCTGCCTTTTCCTGTTGGTCAGCCTCACGGTCATTATCATAATGAGCGAAGAATGGGCGGTGGCTTTGCGGCGATCGTTTGGGTTTCGGAACTTGGGTCTCTGTGCCTCTCAGTAATTCTGGGGCTTGATGGTTGGGACTGGTGTACCTGTTAGGTGGTCTGGGAAGCTCAGGTTCACGGAAGGGTAGGGCTGGCCCTGAATCAGTCAAATAAGCTAGGGCAAAAGCAGAAGTAGAGACCTACATCCCTTTCTCCTGCTCACCGCTAGGACCCGGACTGGACCTTCTCCCCGCCCGAGTTCTGTGCGTCAGTTCACTGTGACCTAGAGCCCAATCGTTGCCTGTTGCTGAGCCTCAATTTTCCTGTGAGCCGAACGGTTTTAATTCATATTCTCCGGCACCTTCTTGGTCAGCTCCCTCAGCTGATTAATCCGAACTGAATGTACTTATTCTCTCACATGTTAGTTCATTCAACCTCCCATCTACTTATTTACACATTTACCCAAGCCTTTAGAATGTATTAGTGAGTCATACTTGCACGCCTCCTTGCCCCACCAAAAAAAAATATATATTATTATTATTATTATTATTATTATTATTATTATTTGCTGTGGTTTATGAAAGGTGATTAGTGTCCTAAATTTCGGACACTGGGTAGATATGTATGGATAATCATAGAGGGCAAAAAAAATCGGTTTTAGTGTTTGAAGGAGATAGTTTTGTGAAGCCCTACTACCTCTACTTTTGTAATGCTAGTCTGCATTTTGGATTCCTACCTCTACATTTGTCTTCCATAAAGTAAGTTACCTTACTACTTAATGATCAGAATGAATGTGAGGGTGGCATGTTATTATCCCCATTTTGCAGATGAGGAAAGTCAAACAGCTCTTACGTGGTGGAGCCAGGACTCAAACCCATGTGTGTCTGACTCCCACAGAGAAGAGCTAGCTGCTTCTCCGCTCCCTTTCACTCCACCCCACCGCCAAGTCAAACTTGTAACCCAAATCGAAACCAACACACCCGAGAGCTGGATTCACCTGACCTTTTCTCTCCGTCTAGGAGCCATGTCCACCTTGTTTCCCTCCCTCTTCCCCCGTGTGACTGAAACGCTGTGGTTTAATCTGGATCGGCCTTGTGTGGAGGAGACAGAGCTGCAGCAGCAAGAACAGCAGCATCAAGCCTGGGTGAGTGAGCACCTAGCACCGTGGTGTGCCTCAGTCAGGGATTTCCCTTCACTGGTTAAGATCCAGTCTTACTCTAGAGACCTACCCTGGAAGAGCTTTTTGCTTTGAGCTGAGAATAATCAGGCTGGGAGCTGGGTTCTCATCTTTGTGTTACCCTAATTTTCCACGGGACCACGGGACTTCTGGGCCAGATTGGAGCCCAGGTTCTTTTTCAAAAAAGCATAGAAATAATAATTTTGACTATTTATTGGGACCTAGCAGATGTCATGTTCTAGGCTGATAGTCTTTCACTTCATCCTCACCATAATCTTATGAGAAAGTCAAGGCCCAGAGAGTTTATGTAATTGGATCAAGTTGCAGATGACAAGAGAGAAAGGGATCGAATCTTCCTGAGATCTGGAAGCTTCTCCATCACACTCGGGGTGGGGGTGGGGGCGTCTTCTTGTGGGCAGAGGGGTCTGGTCCCATGCTCCTGACTTTCCCTGCTTGGGCCCTGGCCCTGCTTTTCTTCCCCTTTGACCACAGCTCCAGAGCATTGCAGAGAAAGACAACAACCTGGTACCTATTGGCAAGCCGGCCTCAGAGGTGAGTGGGGTCCAGGTGGACTAAGGCTCTGCTCTAATTCTGAAGGTCTTGCCTCTGACTCCAGAGCAGTTGTGATCCTCAGCTCTAGAGGGGTGGGCTTTGGGCCCAGAACTAAGGTCCTACAGAGCATGCACCAGCCTGCTAGACTTAAGCAGGGTTGGGGAGTAGGGGTCATTTGTTGACTCCAGAGAGAGGCTCCAAGTAGGCTAGCCCTTAAACTGGTCCAAGAAGGCTGTAGAGTCTATAGGCTCTCCCTTGCCTCACCAGCACTATGATGATGAGGAAGAGGAGGATGAAGATGACGATGAGGATAGTGAAGAGGACTCAGAGGATGATGAAGACATGCAGGACATGGACGAGATGAATGACTACAATGAGTCACCTGATGATGGAGAGGTCAATGAGGTAGGCAGGGGTGTGGGAAGGGCCTCTGTTCCTGGGCTCCTGCCCCTGAGCTAATTTGTGGCCAAGGGGTGCAGAGACCCTGGATCCAGCCAGGAGCAGGGTCTGGGATGGGCTGGCTGGGTGGCTGAGGCCCCTCCCCACCCACACCCAGCCTCCTCTCCAGGTGGACATGGAAGGCAACGAACAGGATCAGGACCAGTGGATGATCTAAATAGACAAGGCAGAGTGGCCTCAGGGAGAATCCAGGCCATCCCAACCCACTCTGTGACTCCTGCAGAACCAGCTGATCACCCCAGGACTGGAAAGTTCACCCTCAGGCACCTCCTCAGCTGCTGCCAGGACCTGGTCTCCTTGGCCCCTCCCTGCCCTTGAATCCCCAAGACCTGAGTCCACCCCACCTTTCTGGCCAGTACCTCACCCCTGGAGGTGTAGTCTCTTTCTAACTCTCTTTAATAAAGACACGGGACTGATTTCTCCCTTCCCCCATGTCTATTTCTCCCCCCCCCCCCTTTTTTTTTGGTGGGGTCCAGAGGAATCCAGCATCTTTTCTTGAACTTTTGGGAGAGGGCATTTAAGGGACTTCAGGCAAACCTACCTGGCCATTGGGCCAGGACTAGGGAAGGCCAGGGCCCAGGCTTCACTGCCTTCTACTCTAGCTTACACTGCACCAGCCATTCCTGCAGGGCTTCTAACTCAGAGTTTACTGTTTCTTTTAATTCTATCCACAATGTCATGGGCTGGAGAGGGCAGGTTTTTTGTGTTTCAGAGCTAGGCAGCGTCTAAAACTCTTCCAGCCAGTTTCCTTAAGAGAGCAGATTAAATCTCAGAGCAGGGCAGGGACTCCCCTGGAGCCACCCAGAAAATCAGTGACAGAGCTGGGGTGGGAGCTCAGGCCTTTGCCTGTCAGTTCCTGGCTTTTTCTGGAAGCAGTGGGACCAAGCAATCAGACAGAACTTGATGCCTCTAGTGCATAGGGCAGAGGTAGGGGGAGTCTCCCCAACTCCAAGCTCAGCATGTGTCAGGCCACAAGCAGGGAGGGGAAGGGATGTTCTGAGGTCCTTGCTTGGGTGGGGGTGAGGTGGGCAGCAGTTAGTACTCCCGGGCCTAGACCTCAGCCAGGTCCCGAGTAGGTGAGCTGGGCTATGCCGTCCTTAATGGCAGGAAAGTCTGGGAGGCCAGTGTGATGGAGGCGGCAGCGGTAGCGGCCACAGCTCTTGGCGTACTGCAGGAAGCGGGGGGCACCAGGGAAGAGCACGTGGTCCGCCAACACAGTGGCACCAACTGGCAGCAGAGCGTGACCCTCCAGAAGCTGCAGGTCCCGCAGGTAACATCGGGGCCGGTGTGCCAGGAGTACCAAATCTACCCGACTCAGCTGGTACTTGGCTCGTAGGCTCGCGATCACCTCCTCTGAGTTACCCACGATGAGCTCCACCTGTGGGGTGGGAAGGGCTGGAGGTTAGGGCGGGACACACCAGGTTTATCCCCCACCAGACCCCATCAGGATCTGGCTTCCTTTATGCCAGGTCCTTGTCTAGATCCCCCCCAGGGTTCTCACATTTCCTCTGGCTTCAGAACCCAAGAAGTCAGGATCAGTATTGTCATTTTCCTTTATTTTTGTTTTTTTAATTAATCCTCACCCAAGGTAATTTTTCCATTGATTTTTTTAAGAGAGAACGGAAGGGAGGGGGATAGACAGAGAGAGAAACATTGATGTGAGAGACACATTGATTGGTTGCCTCTCATATGTGCCCCAACCAGGACTGGGAATTGAGCCTGGGACCCTTTGGTCTTTGGGCCAATGCTCTATCCATTGAGCCAAACCGGCTAGGGCTAGTATTGTGATTTCTATTCAGCCAGTGAAGGAGTTGAGATCCACAGGATAAGTGCTTTGCCCAACGTCTCATACCTAATAAGCGGACTGAGATTTGCTGGACCCAGAGACTTTCCTCTTAACTGCTTCTTTGTCCCTCAGCAGTAAGTATGTGCAAATGATTTGGAACAAGAGTTCACACAGCCTCCAGGATCACAGTTCCCTAAGTGGAGCGGCTGCTTTCTCCCAGGTGGGAGGCCTGGCCAGGACAAGGTCCAGGGAGGAGACGAGAGGTGGGGAGGTGGGGGCTGACCTTGCGCTCGTCGAAGCCAGCCAAGCGGATGAGTTTTTCAGCCACCACTGCTGTGCGTGGGTCCCGCTCTACAGTGAGAAGGCGGCTCCCAGGGGGCAGGGCCCGGGCAATATGCAGTGTGGAGTAGCCGCAGTGGGAACCCAGCTCCAGCACACAAGCAGGGGCCTTCTCCTCCACCAGCCGTATCAGGATCTGACCTATGGGAAGAGATAGCTATTGCAGCAGACATGGGAGATGGGTTTTAGGCCACAGAAAGAGATCTCAAATGCCACCTTCAGCTCCCAACCAGCTGGAGTCTTATCTCTCTCCGACTAGTCTCAGCTGCCCCAGTGGTACCCCTTCTCCTCCAGGCTTCCCAGGCTTCACACCAGCCACTAGAAATCTTTCTAAAAAAAATAAATCTGACACTATCACTCCCTGGTTCCTTGATCCTAAGGCCTTGGGAATTGAACTTGGGATTCTCAGCCTGATACTCAGGACCTTCTTGGAAATGATCCTGTCTTTCCAGTTTCAGCTCTCAGTTATGCCTACCTGTAGCCTGTACCACAGCCATCCCAAACAACTGTGCCCAGGATCAGCCATTCTGGCTCATTCCTTCCTATCACATTTGTTACGTGGCTAACTTTGCCCTTCCCAACCCTATCCTCGCCTGTCTGGCCAACTCGAAAGCAATCCTTCTAGGCTGTTAAACTGTTGCTTCCTCCAGGGAAGTCCAGGCAGAAACAATCACAGGGCTTCTGAGAGACCATCTTCTAATCTCTTGAAAGAGCTTTGCTAGAACTTCCAGTTTAATTTCCCCTTATTTGTTCTTTGAATATCTTTCTAACCTTGGTACTGGACCAATTTCTTTTTTCTTTTTTTAAAAATATATTTTATTGATTTTGTACAGAGAAGAAGGGAGAGAGATAGAGAGCTAGAAACATCAATGAGAGAGAGTCATCGATCAGCTGCCTCTTGCACACCCCCCACTGGGGATATGCCCACAACCAAGGTACATGCCCTTGACAGGAATCGAACCTGGGACCCTTCAGTCCCCAAGCTGACGCTCTATCCATTGAGCCAAATCAGTTTTGGCTGGACCAATTTCTTAAATAAGACTGGAAAGACTTGTGCTGGGAGCTGGGACTCAGACAAATCCAGGCAGGGAGCTGCCCTGAATGGGGTGTGGGGGCCTCAGTAGTGAGAAAGACATTACAAAGTTATGGGTTATGTGCGGAGATGGTTATTCCCCTGTATTAAGCTCTGAGGCCAGCATCTGTGGCTGATTCACTATGTGGCTTCTATTTTCTTCTTCCCCAGCACACTCCTGGTACAAAAGAGGTGGCAATAAATTTTTGCCAGATGAATTAACTTTGCCCGGCCCCCTCATTTCCAGAGGAGAAAAAAGAGAACCATAGAGAATCAAGAACCTGCCTAAGTCACCCATTAAGGCAGTGGCAGATCCCAGCTCTTCCTTCACCATCTTGGGGGGTTGCTTCCTGGAGCAGAATGCAGGGAACACTGACCTTTGGCAGGCCCCATGTGGCTCAGGTACTCGCAGTGACTGCTCCAGTGGTCCAGGGTGGTGAGGATTTGAGTAGGGTCCCCAGGCAGGGCGTGGGTGAGCACATAGCTGAAGGCCCGTTCCTCAACCCGTAGCCCTGACAGGTAGTCTCGGAGGCTCCGCAGCAAGACCGTGTGCACCAGAAGTCGGAAATGGTGCCGGTACCGCACCAGCAATGTCACCACCAGTGGCAGGAAGGCTAGTGCGATGGCAGGAGACATGGTCCCTACCTGGTCCTGGTAGGGGTCCTGAGGTGGAGGGAGACAGTGAGGGAAAGCCACACCTGATATCTGCCTGTCCGCGCAATCCCTAGTAGTAATGATTATCCCTATATTTTACAAACTGTGGCTCTTAAAGGTTAAGTCTTTTGTCCAGAGTCACACAGCAGGACTAGAATTTGAGTCTGAGTTGGTCTGATCCCAAGCCCATGAACTTTCTTTCAAGGATCCCATGCTAAATTCAGAACCCAACCCCAAAATACCTCTCCCCACTTCCAGCTCCTGGTACCACTTGCACCTTGCTCGCTCCACCCATTTCCCTTCATTTCCCTTCTGACATATCCTTCTACTGCCCCTACCCCTGCCTGTTTGGTCTCCTCTGACCCATTACTGTGTAGCAAAAAGGCACAGCTTTACATCAGAAACCCCTTCACTGCCATTGTTTTGCCTCAATAAAAGGCAATCAAAACACTCCACAGGGTATTAGGATAGGATGTCCTTCCCACCCCAGGATTTTCCTCCTGTGCTTCCCTAGGGTTGAGAAGAATCCTTGATTCTATATTTCTTTTCAGTCCTATCTCCTTCCCCCTACAGTCCCCTCTTTTCTCCCTTAGAATTCCCTTCACATGTGCATACACAGAGCACACACTTTCTCCTCACTCAGCCCTCTTCCCCCCCAGCCGGCCATGAGGGATGAGTTTCCTGTCTTCTTCCGTGCCCTTTTGAGGCCGCTGGTAGTGGTAGAAAATAAAAATGAAAATAGGAATGTATGAATGGGAGTGAATGGTTAGGGATGGCAAATTTGAACCGGTGTGCTTGGGAACCCACACTCAAGGACCCTGCTTACCTGGGCTGGAGGCTCCTGCTTGAGGAAGATCGGAGCATAGGACAGAAGGGGGAAGTCCTTGGAGGGTAGGGGTAGAATCCTGAGGCAGGCTGGACTTGCTCTCAATTATTGATGCTGAGACTGCTGATGTCACCTGAAACCTGCAGTTCAAGTTACTAACCCCAGGGGCAAGCTGGAGCTGCCTCCTACCCTTCAGGAGCCCTCAGCGCTTAATAAGAACTCCATGGTCTTGATTTGAGGGACAAAAGAGCTATAGGTCTTGGTAGCCTCTCCTACAACCCCTTGGATTAGCACATGGGGTATGATGTGAGCTAACGTGATAGGGAGGTTGTAATTTATTCATTAATTCCAAATTTGAGTTTTCTCTAAATAAGTGCTAGGGAGTGGGTCACAGAAAAGAGATTTTGTCCCTGCCCTGCAAGAATTCCATAAGCGATCAACCGAAGGACTTGTATACATGCATATAAGTACAACCAATGGACACAAAACTCTGGGGAGGGAGGGTATGTATGGGAGGGGGGGCAATGTTAAAATATGTACACAGATAATAATTTAATAAAAAAAAGAAGAAACAGAAAAAAAAAAAAAGAACTCCATGTTTTTTGTCGATGTTGTGTTTTGTTTTGTTTTTGAACTCCATGTTTGGTAAAAGAAATTGGTGCAGAAACAGTGAATACAAGAACTCTGGGCTGTTTTGTGAACTGCTACATAATCAGTTACAACAGTATGTACATATTGCAGATATTCAGTAAAATTTGATTTAATAAATGAATGATTTAACACAGAATAGGAATTAAGCACAGATGTCCAGAGACTAAAGTTAGAGAAGGGAATCAGGAGGATATTGTTGAATCTTGAACACAGCAAGCAGACCTAGTGGGGAGACAGCGTGCTTAGATACACATGCAAGTCCAGGAGGTCAATCAAGAAACTGCTATGTCCAAAACCGGTTTGGCTCAGTGGATAGAGCGTCGACCTTCAGACTGAAAGGTCCCAGGTTCGATTCTGGTCTGGGGCATGTACCTTGGTTGTGGGCGCATCCCCGGTGTGGGGTGTGCAGGAGGCAGCTGATCAATGATTCCCTCTCATCGATGTTTCTAACTCTTTCCCTCTCTGTGAAAGATCAATAAAATATATTAAAAAAGAAAAGAAACTGCTATGGCTGGTGAGGCATTTCTCCAATCCCTGTACCACCACCCTCTGGGCCTGGAGTGGGAAGCAGGTGTTAGAACCTGCAAGATTTTGAATGACAGACTTGAACCTGTTTTCAGGGTCCTAGGAAAGGTTCTAAAAAAGCAATGATGGTGAGCTTTGTGTGTTCCATAGTAGGACTGCTATAAAATGGCAGGATTGAAGATAAGTGCCTAAGGGCAAAGAGATCAGTAAAGTGGCCTCTATCTCCACTACTAGGACTAAGCTCCACTCCACTTCCACTTGTGAAGGTGTAAGGTCCCCCGGCTTGCCCCTGAGCAACTGGGGCCTACGTGTGTGCATCCCACTTGTTCCTCGAGTGGTATTTAGGAAATCACATCATGATGATACTTGGTATAAATTCGCTCACTGGTCCACAAAGGCAGACTGGAGGCCCCACGACCATTCAAGACCTTCTATGGCTTGCAAAGGATTAGGAGCTGAAGTCATGTGACAAGCCCCTCCCTGCCCTCCCATCACGTGTCTTGCGCTTTGTCACGCAGGGCTCGCCTTCCTATTGGTTGGAAATGGTCACGTGGCGGGGGCTGGACCGGAAGCCGAGGTTTCAGGAGCGCCGCGGCAGCGAAGTGGCTCTGGAAAGGGATAGTCGTGGAGGCGGGTAGTTGCTTGCTCATTGCAGCCACGGGTCATGTGACCGGAAGGGCTCCTCACGGACGCCGTCCCTCCTCACGGCCTGAGCGCCCGGCCCGACCCCGGCCATGGGGTGCTGCTACAGCAGCGAGAACGAGGACTCGGACCAGGTGCGGCCGCGGCGGGCGGGGCTCGGGAGTGAGGGCTGAAACGCTGGGGCATGGGGCTCAGAAAAAAAATCTGCAGAAGAAGGGGGAGCTGGACGGCGAGGCTCGCTGAGTACGGAGGCCCGGAGGGGACATATTACAGAGGAGACGCCGGGCCGGCCTCTACTGTTAAAGCCCCAGTTCTCTCTGTACAGTCACCGTGTTGGGGCGTGCAGTGGGGGTGTGCTGGCAGCCGCTTATCTCACTTGCTCTCCCACCCTTTCACCTCACCTACTTTCAGACCTTTACAGCTTCAAGGATCCTTAGTCTAGGTCCCTGGGAAGCACTCCCTTCCCCCCTCCCTGCGCTTGCATTAGCGGGCTTTGTGAATCCGTTGTAGAGGTGGGAAAGCTGAGGCTCAGAGTTAGTTTGTCCTGAGATAAGTCAGGAATCTGCATATTCTGTCAGTCCCTGGGGTTGGAGAAGGCAGCTGATGTCTAGGGCCAGAGGAGGCCTCTGGAAGGTGGTGGCATTTGAGTTAGTGAAGGATTTATTAATAGGCACAGCGAGGACATCAGGATGTGTAGAAAATTATTTGGGAAGTAACATCAGGTTTACGTTTGGCTGGACTGGGACGGCGGGAGGCGGGTGGTGGTATGGGATGGGAAACTCAGTTTTGACTGTTTCAGTGCAGTCTCTACCTGGGCCTGATGGTTCCTCTAGCTAGAGGGGTTCTTGCCCTGGGAAGTTGGCTGTAGATCACATCCCTTTGCAAGAAGAATTAGCTTGGGGGAGACGTGTACAGTTTTAAATTATCACTCTTCGTGCATTTTCATACCACTCTTTAATTTTTTTTAAGAGAGAGAGAGAAACATTGATTGGCTGCTTCCTGGTGATCTGGAGCCTACAACCCAGACATGTGCCCTGACCACGAATCAAACCAGCGCCCTCTTAGTGCATGGGTCTGTGCTCAACCACTGAGTCACGGCTGGGCTCACACCACACTAATTCTGGTCCTTCCCACCTGACCTCCTTTGAGGGGGGAAACCCTTCCAAGGATGCAGTCTTAAGCTGTTGGCCCCTCACTTTTGATTGTTTCTGTGCCTGGGTTCCACATCTCAACATATACCAGACACAAAGATGGTAGAAAGGTTTCAGCAATGAGCCCACAGACTGGTTGGGTAGATGGTGGCAGAAATGGATTATGTCACTGGTATTGGAGAGGAGGTCTTTTCCCTCAGTGACTCACATGAACCTCTTTTGGGTTAAGGATTTAGGCTTGGGAAAATGTCATTTGTATGAGAGGCATGGGTGGCTGAACACAGTGAACACATAATCACATTTCCTCTGTCTTATGTTAGGCATGCCTCTGACAATACCTTTCACTTCACCCCAGCCTTTTAAAGAGACAGTATCCCCTACTACTGAGGAAAGTTGTGGCTTATGGGAAGTTGTCTCTTAACACATAATATGGACTCTTTCTGGCAATGACTCAAGAAGGGTTAATATCTGACTTATGAGGAAGGATAAACCAGCTTCTAGCTGGAAGAGTTTGGCTTGTTGCTCTCCTCTATCTCCACCTTGCCTTTGATGGGCTCTTACTTCTTTTCCTAAATCCCAAAGGCAGTGTTTGGTCAGTGCTAGGTGATTTGAGACCTCAGATGGCAAAAGTCTAATTACCTAGTCTATAAGCCATAATCAATTCACTATAAAAAAAAAATCCCTCTTTGAGCTCTTGGGCTGGCTCTTCTTCCCCTCTTATCACTGCCCCGTTATTATAATAATACAAAGACATGCACAACATATTACAGTTTTCAAAGCCCTTTTACAGTTATCTCACTTGACTTGCCAGACATTTGTCATAAGCTACCAGTTATGTCTATTAAAAGCCTAGGTGCCCTTGCAGGTAGCTCAGTTGGTTAGAAGGTCATCCCAATACACCAAGGTTGTGGGTTCAATCCCTGGTCAGGGCATATGCAAGAAACAACCAATGAATGCATAAATAAGTGGAACAAATCAATAAAAATCAAGGAAAAAGTTCACAGAGGCTAAGTGCCTTAGCAAAGCTGAGATGTGCCATAGCCAAGGTATTTTGATGCCAACCCATGTGCTCTATCCATTGCATCAAGCTATTTCTTATAGATGACTAGTCATAGGCAGACCACATATGCTGGGGTAGACCATGAAACACTCCTGGGTTGACACTGACTCAGAAAAAAATTCGCTGTAAAAACCTCCCCTATGTTCCCTTTGTTCTCTGTGGATGAGCCAATGCTAGTGTCCTCTCTAATGGGAGCAGTCTGGCTTCTGGGAGGCTAGGTCTCAGGAACCCACGGGGGGAAACTACCCTGTCCTGCAAGAAGGTCTGTCTGAAGTGGGGCCGGAGGAAGAATGGACACAGGAAACAAACTCAGACTTCATGATGGAACCAGCTTTTCTGATAGTTTAATCTTTGGCAAGTATTTTGTCTTTCTAGTAGCCTTTAGTACTTAGCCTGTCCTTTAGGAATGGAAGTGTCTAGAACCTGGGAGATAATGGGGCAGAAGCTCACAGCTTCTGTCTCATGCTGCTAGGAACTGTAACACTTGGGCAACCTAGGATTGAGCAGTAAGAGTCATGTGACAAGACTGGGCCTGCGTAGGGTGGGGCAGGCCTGGCAGGAGGAAGTGGCCCTCTACCAGGAGAGTTGGGCAGAGAAGTTGGGAGCCCGCAGTGGGGAAGTCAGTGGTAGGAACTGAGATAGGCCTGGAGGGGTCTGGTGGTCTGGCACTACCAGTTGGTGAGTCAGCATTAGCCAGGAAGGCCCCTTGTCCTTGACTTTGTCCCGAGCACCCTCACTCTGTGGCTTGGCTAGGTCCCCAACAGGTCAGCTTATCCAGTTTACAGCTGACACAGAGCCAGCAGGGATTTGCAGCTGATGGGCTCAAGGCAGGGTTGTATCCAGAAATATTAGAACAAGGAACTGAACTGGGACAAAGAGTTATATACAGAATTATACACGACCAGGGAGACTGCCCCCGGTCAGTTCTGGGGTTGTGATCAGCAGTGTGGGCTAGTGGTAACGGGGCTCCTGATCATTAATGAAGCCACACTAACAGGTGTGGCGCCTTAGCAAGGGAGGGAACAGCTCGCTTGGTTCAGGCAGGATTCCCAGGTGCATAAGTTTGGTCCTGGGAGTCCCATATAAAGAGCAGAGGAGCAGAGGAGGTGAACACCTGAGAGGACAGGGGCCTGCCCTCAAGAAGGAAGCACACACAGCCTGTGTGACCCAGAAGTTGAGGCCGGAGCTCCTGCCCTGAAATAAATAGGAATGGGCATGGAGAGCTGGGTGTGTTTTCTCTTTGAGCTTAGGGCCTTGTCTGGCCTCAGGGCCTCTATCCTGGGAACAGACAGCTTTGCCGGGGAGGGCCTGGTTTGGGGAATCAGGAGGGTCACTGGGCTCCTGGCTTGCATCAGTTTCCCTGTGGACCACCTGTTTTTGGTGTTTCCTACCTCTTCTGGCTTCCAGCCTGCAGTGTTCTGTCTCCATAAGTTGCTGGACTATTTTCTAAAGCTCCAGGGCTGTTACCTTATACCTCTTTTGTGCCTCTGTCCATCTTCTCAGGGCATCTGCGACTGTTTGTGTCCTCTTTACTTTGTCCTGGACTTCCGAGCTGAGCTTCAAAGGGCAAGCAGGAACTTATCTAGCACATACTGGGGCCCTGGGATATTCCTAATAAAAATATTTTTGGTGCTTAAATGTCAGAGTTGGGCTGAGAAGAGAACCCAGGAAAGGCAGGTTGGACTAAGGGCTCCAGGGCTGCCTTCTCCCTGATGATCTCTCCTAGGACCGAGAGGAGCGGAAGCTGCTGCTGGACCCTAGCAGCCCCCCCACCAAAGCCCTCAATGGAGCCGAGCCCAATTACCACAGCCTGCCTTCCGCTCGCACAGATGAGCAGGCCCTGCTCTCCTCCATTCTTGCCAAAACAGCCAGGTGAGCATCACAGAACCAGGCCTGGGGCAGAGCTCCCCTCTCTGTGAGAGCTGACCCAGGACATGGGGGATAGAACAGGGTCAGTGGGAGAGGCGCCTCTGGGCCCAGCCCTGCTCCTGTAGGCAGGTGGGGGCACTGGTGTCAGATAGTCCTGGAGTTAGCATGTGGCAGTGAATCCTTCTCATCCCCCTTGGATGTACCTGTCATGTTTTATTTCTCTTCTCCCCAAAGCAACATCATTGACGTGTCTGCTGCAGACTCCCAGGGCATGGAGCAGCATGAGTACATGGACCGGGCAAGGCAGTACAGGTGAGCATCTGGCCAGCTTGGACTCCTCCCCCTTCCTCTCCCCTCCATCCCTGATCCAGCTTTGCAGCCTGGGCCCAGTCCAGCCTCTTCATTTGGGTACCCAAGAAACTGACCACAAAACTCTTGGGTACCTTCATGTCAGCACTATTTGTCCTGTGACACTCAAGGATGCAGAGGGCCAAGGGAGGTGGGCCTGGAGTGAATTTGTGGCCAGCTGAGGCCTTGTCACTTGCTTCTCTGGTCTGAGGAGGCTTCCTGGGCTGAGCTTGGCAGGGCAGGACAGATTGTAAACTGATTGCCCATCCCACCCCTCTCTATCGGCCAGTACCCGCCTGGCTGTGCTGAGCAGCAGCCTGACCCATTGGAAGAAGCTGCCGCCACTGCCATCTCTCACCAGTCAGCCCCACCAAGTGCTGGCCAGCGAGCCCATCCCCTTCTCCGACCTGCAGCAGGTGAGCCATCCTTTCTCCACCCCTGCCTACCCACTCACACTGCCCACGCTGTGCCTTCTAGGAGGTGGGGAACTGGAGTTCACCTGGTAGCTTGTGGGTCCTGCTCGCTCCCACCTTTCAATTGGCTTTCTGTCCCCCGTCATTCCCTCCCCTCTGGCCCTCTGATCCTCCTCCCCTGGTTTCTGGATCTCCCTTTTCACCTGCCTCTCTCTGTTCTTCTCCTCCCTGGTCCCTCTACCTCAGGTCTCCAGGATAGCTGCTTATGCCTACAGTGCACTTTCTCAGATCCGTGTGGATGCAAGAGAGGAGCTGGTTGTACAGTTTGGGATCCCGTGAAGACAGTGGTCCTCGGACAGCTCTTCTCCTCTCTTCACCCCGCCTCCCCTGGCCCCAGCCTCACTATGGCTTAAACAGTACCCTGACCTGCTACTAATCACAGAGAAGAATGTGGAGGAGGAGGAGGAGAGCGAGGCTAGAAGCCTGGACAAGTGAGGATGGAGCAAGAGAGGGTAGAACCATTTGGGACTGGCCTTCGAAGCCCTGGCCAGGGGTGGGGTGGGGGTCAGAAGGACAGGGCCTGGTAGGTCTTCACTGTCACTGGGAAGGGGTGGAGGTGACACTGTGAGAGTGAGCACTAGGGGGCCCATGAAGGCCCCTTGCCCACTCTTCTCTTGGCCTCCCACTTTGCCCCTCTCCGACTCGGTGCTTACAGGCACCTCACTAGGGTTTGTGACCAGTGTCTGGACGAGATTGAATTTGAATGAATTGAGTTTGTATTTCTAGCACCCTGGGTTTTTACATGTTTGGGGTTTTGGTGTTTTTTTTTTGTTTGTTTTTTGGGGGAGGGGGGGGTTATCTCCCTTGATAAAGGAAATGTATTCATCTGTGTGCGATTTCAGCCCCTCTCTCCTGCCCAGCACCCTACTAATTACTTCTGGCTGCTTAAGTCTATGAGCAGTGAAAACGGATGATGGGGAGGGGGACTTCTTTTGGGAGCATTAAGAGTCGTCCAAGATATGAGTTCAAGGTTCCCAGGTCTTATCTGAGATTTGGCCTTGGCTAACCACATATTGGATAAGATTGCTTGTCATTTCTCCGGTGATGGGAACACTGGCAGCTGTCATTGCTGAGGACCCTGCCACAGACTCTGAGATTACTGAAAAGACCGGTAAGGGATTGGTGGTGATGGTGCAGACAGATCAGGAGTACCTGACTTGGAAGTCAACAAGCTAGTTTTCAAGCAGAAGAGTCCGCTTTTTTATTTTTAATCTTCACCAAAGGATATTTTTCTCATTGATTTCCAGAGAGAGTGGGAGGGAGGTTGGGAGAATGAGAAACATTGAGGTGAGAGACACATCGATTGGTTGTCTCCCGCTTGTGCCCCTACCAGGGCTGGGGAACCTGCAACTGAAGTGCGTGCCCTTGACCGGGAATCAAATCCATGACCCTTTGGTTCGTGGGCCAATGCCCTAGCCACTGAGAAAACTGGCCAGGGCAGTTCTTTTTATCAAATGAGTCTCAAGCACAATCCCAACACATACAACATGAGAGTAACTGCTCTGGTTGGATGGCAATGGGGGATTCAGCATTCATGGCCTGTCTTGGGATTTTATCACCGAAGCCTCTGATTGCCACAGAACCCTGGTGCTCTGTGAAGCAACTCTAATTCCAGGATATCTGATCTGAAGAGTGAAAAAAGGACCCAGGATTGAGATAAGCTCCCCAAGGCCATGCAATGAACCCAGGTCTCAGGTGTCTCAGGCCAACAGGCCTTTCCCTTCTCGGCCTCCCTTTCAGTGAAGCAAGGCCAGAGCCAGTGGCAACTGCCTGGGTTGGGGGGGCGTTTTTACACAGCACAAGTGACTTCTGGTCTGCTGAACAGCTCAAATCCTTTATTGCATTGTCAGACCAGCCCTGGCTGTCCTCATGCCTTCAGACGGCTGTAGTCCTGGGAACCTCAGAGTGCCTCCTGCTTGATCCGGATTTTCTTGGGCCTGATGTTCATGCGTTTCCACACTTCAGCTGAGGTGCGGTCTGCTCTGGTGACCCCACTGAAGTCGAATGTGGTGATACGAGGCAAGGTGCACAGCACATAATGCCTGTGGGGAAGACTCGGGCTGGGGGCCAGCCCCCCCACCAGCACCCCATTCCCCCCACCAGCTGCTGCTATCTCCCGATTGCAGGAATGGAGGGACTTGAGTATAGTTTGGGGGATACTGAGTTTATCCTGACAGCAGGAAATGCCTAAAGGTCTCTACTGCTTTTCCTTGTCTCCCCTCCTTTGCCTTGGGGAAGCCTAGCTCCAGGGCAGGGCACTTACCGATACCCCTTCTCTTCCTCCATGGGGTTCCCGTGGAGGGTGAGGCTCCGGAGCCGAGGGAGGATGGCCAGCTTATTCACCTCTCCGAGGCGCTGGATGCTGTTGCCATGGAGGTAGAGGACACTCAGGTTGAAGAAAGTGGTCAGGACCTTGTTGGGGAAGAAACCGAAAGCCAGGCTAGACAGGCCTCTAGAGCTGTGCTCAGGACTGACTGGAGGATGAGTAGAGTTTGGCTAACAACTTGCTTTCCACCACGCCTCGTCTCCAGCCATATTGGATGACTCTAATCTGCTTTCATTCACCTTTGAGGAGGTATAGGGCATCCCATTGACAGCTGTGATCTTAAAAGCAGGAAGTAGGAGCCTGGGTCCGAGCGCTGTCACTGACTTGCCAGGTGACTGGACCCGCCTGCTTCTACCTGAGCCTTAGTTGCCCTTTCACTGAAAACTTTTGGGGATCTGAGAGTCTCAGAACATAGGAGAAGCTTTTATTTATTTATTTTTAATATATTTTATTGATTTTGTACAGAGAGGAAGAGAGAGAGAGAGAAAGTTAGAAACATCGATGAGAGAGAGTCATCGATCAGCTGCCTCTTGCACACCCCCCACTGGGAATGTGCCCGCAACCAAGGTACATGCCCTTGACCAGAATCGAACCTGGGACCCTTCAGTCTCTAAGCTGACGCTCTATCCATTGAGCCAAACTGGTCTCAGCAGAACATAGGAGAAGCTGTTAAAATAGTGAAACATCCTAGGGAACAGATTCTAAGTTGTGCTCTAGCTCCTCCCCCCTAATGGATCCTGGACAAAACAGGATCAGTTTTGTTTATTTCTTAACAGTTGAGTCTGAGTGCATGGGAAATAAAGTGCTGTAGTTCTACTACCTACCTCTTCCACAGAAAAACTCTGCACAAGGCACAGTGGGTGCTCATAACAATAGCTACCCTTTTATTTCAGCTTTCTATGTGCCAGTTGGTTTTCATACATTCTTATTTAATTCTCACAAAATATTGATGATTCCCCCTGTCTGAAAACTGGGTTTTGGAGAGGTTAGGAAGGTTGTCCAAAATCATGAGGCAAATCTAGGATCTGAACCTACATCAGAGCCAACAGCTGTGTGCTTCAGACACAGTACCATGGTGCTCACAGCTTCCTTGATGAGATGTGGGAGGTGGAAAGGGTCGGGGTGGACTCTCAGGACTGGGAACTCACAGGGTCAATGGAAGTCAGGTCATTGAAAGACAGGTCGATCCAGGCCAGGTTCTCTGGATGCTGCAGCTTCTGTGAAATTACTTGGTGGAAGTCTCTCAGCTCATTGAGGACATTGTTGTTCAGCCACAGGGACTGGGTCAGTAACTTCCCTGACTTCGAGCGCCTTAGTGGTCGCAGCCCTCTCCTTGGCTCCTCGCTCATCAGATCTGTGGGAACAAAGTGAAGTCTGCATATGTCATCTTTGCCTTTCTGTTTCTGGGGGATGAGAGCTGAGAATAAGCGCGAGCTAACTGGAGGGCCACAGGCTGACTAGTGCAACTGCTGGCAGCTCAAGAACTCCATCTCACAGGCCCCAGAAGTCAGTAAGCTTGAACAAAGGGCCAAAGACTTCTTATCCCAAACTCGGTTTGGGTCACATGCTCCTCTTATATCTATTTTATTATTAGGTCCTCTGTGTACACCCTGTGTATATGTGTTGAGGGGAGAGGGGTAAAACCACTCCTATTTTATGAAGAAACCAAAAACCAGAGTTGGGCTTGAGCCAAAGTTACGATGACACAAAGTCCCAAATTATCTACTGGTAGAGCCTACAGAATTCATTCAGTGTATGTAACACACCCTGATTTACTCTTCTTCCATCAGTATTGAACTATGTGCCAGCTATTGGGTATACAATGGTGAACAATATGAGAGACAGACTGTGCCACGCTCTGTGTGATTAAGAGGGTAGGGATGAAGCAGATGTTTATGTCTTGGAGGAGCTTAAATGGGCCAGATGGAAACAAATTGGCAGTGTAATGTGGTAAATGCTATTTAAGTTGGTGAAGGACAGAGCTCCTAACAGTCTGGAGCTCATGAAGTTCCCTAGGAAAGGTGAAACCTGAGCTGGATCTCAGTGGAATAGGAAAGGGTGGAAAGAGTGAGAAGAACATGAGCAAAGGCAGAGGTGTGGAACATCATGGGCACACGTGTATGTGCTGCACAGGGACAAGGAGGAAAAAGGAACCTCTAATGCCAGGCTGAATATCTTGGACTTTACTGTAGGTGACAGGAACCACTAGAGGTTTTGGAGCAAAGGAGATAAATCTTGCATATAAGAAAGATCACTCTGAAGCTTTAGTAGAGTGTATTTTAGGGAGTAGACCAATTTGGCTATTTTAATCATCCAAGCAAGAGATGAAGGTCAGTCGAAGTGACTTGATGTAACTGATACGGAATTAAGGAAGAAACGTGGTTGGGCAGGTAATGAGTTTAGACTTGACCTTGGTGTGTCTGAGGTTCATTAAGTATAAAAAAGTGGAGATTCCAAGTAGGCCATTGGATATGAAGGTCGGAGACACAGACTTGAGAAAAATACCATAGAGAGTGAACAAGTTAAAGAAATGGACGAGAGTCCTCAGGGATAGTAGAGAGGAGGCACAAGGAGGAAGGGGCGTCCATTTAAGAAGTTACTGAACCCAGACCATGTGGCTCAGTGGATTGTGTACTGTCCTATGTACCAAGAGGTTGCTGGTTCAATTCCTGGTCAGGGCACATGCCTGTGCTGTGGGCTCAATCCCCAGTGGGGGGCATGTAAGAGGCAGCTGATTGATGATTCTCTCTCATCAATGTTTTTTTCCCTCCTTTAAGCCCCTCTAAAAATCAATGAAAACATTTTTAAAAACACTATTACTATTTTTAAAAAAAAAGTACTGAATAATCAGGAAAGGACAGGGCAAGCCAGGAGAGGTTAGTTTTATAGATGCTCAGGGAATCCATATTTATAGGAGTGAGTTTTGGAGATGAGGAAAGAAAAGTAATTTTGGTAACAAAATTTGAAGCCCCTGGTGACTTTGATGAGGGCTGTTTCAATGAAATGGCAAGGGCCTGGGAACAGAAGCTAGACTGGAGTGAGTCAAGAGTGAATGGAAGCTGAAACTGGTTTGGCTCAGTGGATAGAGCGTCAGCCTGTGGACTGAAAGGTCCAAGGTTCAATTCGGGTCAAGAACATGTACCTTGGTTGTGGGCACATCCCCATTAAGGGGTGTGCAGGAGGCAGCTGATTGATGTTTCTAACTGCATCTCCCTCTCTGTAAAAAAATCAATAAAATATATATTTTTAAAAAAAGAGTGAATGGAAGGTAAGGAAATATAAGCAGGTAGTGTAAACAATACCTTCAGAAAGTTTAGGTGAGGAGAATAGAGTGATGTTAGAACCCATCTGAATAGACACCCCTGTAACCATTCCCTGCCTCCCATTCTGGTTTTTGTTTTTTGACAAATGAGGTCCAGAGAGAGGATGCGCTTTGCCCAAGCTTACAGACACCAGAATTAGACACCAACTCTGGTTGGGGTGACTATAGTTTTCCTATGGCCCCTATACCTTTGGTTACTTGTTTAAAACTGCCTCTGGCCCTAGCCGGTTTGGCTCAGTGGATAGAGTGTCGGTATGAGGGCCGAAGTGCCCAGGTTTGATTCCAGTCAAGGCACATACCTTGCTTGCAAGCTCCTCTCCGGCCTGGGCCTTGGCCAGGGCTCCTACAGGAGGCCACCAATCAATGTGGTTCTCTCACATCAATATTTCTATCTTTCCCTCTCCCACTTTCTCTAAAAATCAATGGAAAAATATCCTCGGGTGAGGATTAAAAAATAAATAAAATAAAACTGCCTCTGGAGAAGGAAATATTTAGTACTTGTTGAATTGGGCAGGTTTGTCTTCATCCTCCCCTTGGCTCTTTTTGGATACACTTCCTCTCTTCCACCCCCAGCCATTAACTTCCTCTCCTCAGCTGCATGTCAGGCAGCATCCACCAGATGGCTCTCTGTCTTAGTCCTAGAGTGAGAACTCCCAGGAGGAGTGTGAGATTGGAGGAAGGTGGCAGAAATGGACTGGAGCACCCCAGTTTGTGAAGAAACTCCTAAGCCTGCCTCCCAACCTCACATCTCCTGACTGCAAGCCTGGAATGAAGTCACAAAGATGTCGAAATAAGCCTACATAGGGCCTGACCAGTGTGACTCAGTGGTTGAGCTTTGACCCATGAACTAAGAGGTCACTAGTTCAATTCCAGTCAGGGCACATGTCCCTGTTGCAGGTTCAATTCTCAGTAGGGGGCATGCAGGAGGCAGCTGATCAATGTTTCTATCTCTGTCTCCCTCTCTAAAATCAATAAAAACATATATTTTTAAAAGCCCACATAGCCTGAAGGGTGTGGCTCAGGGGTTGTGTGTTGACCTATGAACCAAGAGGCTGCCAGGTCAATTCCTGGTCAAGGCACATGCCTGGTTGTGGGCTCGATCCCCAGGAGGGGAGATGCAGGAGGCAGCCGACCAATGATTCTTATCTCTGGTGTTTCTATCTCCTCCCTTCCTCTCTGTAATCAATAAAAACATTTAAAGAAATAAAAAGCCCACCTATGGACTAGCATCCAGTGTGATGCATCCAGCGTGATGAGGCAGTAGCTTAGGGAATGCATCAAGTCTGGGCTGACCCCAAGCTCAGGAGCCACTGGTGGAATGGTACTGCCTAGAATCCGAGGTTGCTGGGGCTGCTGTTATCAAGGGTAAAGCACGGTGTCTAGACTGCTACAGTTCTGCTCCCTCGGGCTCCAGCAGGGGACTGTATTACTGAGGATCGGCCTTGTAGGCAAAGGCAGGTCTGGAAACTGGGCTTCAGAGAACTGGAGGTTGTCTAGCTACAGGAAACTGGGGAGAAAGCGATTCTGTCTTCACCCCTCTGAAGAGTTGCCATGCAACTTTTTCCATGTGTCCCCAGAAGTCAGGAGTTAGTTTGCTATGAAGAACATCCCATAAGGAAGGTGTGGGGAGGTGCCTGTGGTAAGGGACTCCCTTAACACTAGGTGAGCAGAAGTTAGATGGGCTGGAGGTAGAACAGATCCTATGCCTTCTAAAGTCACTGCCATTTCAGATTCTATGATCCATCTATTGATTAATTACCAAGTAGTGTACCAGGTACCCCTAAACTCTATCCTGTCCTCTATCCCCAATTTTAAGTAAGTGTTCCATAGTTCTGGGAAACCTGAGGGGACTGGCCTTTTGGGGCTTAGATGTGCCTCTCTCCCCGCCTAATATTCATCAAGGAGCACTATGCCTGGCATATATGTATACATACATATACATATATACATAAATACATATCGATATATATGTGCTTAATATAATAAAATAGGTGCTTAACAAATATTTAACTGTTGAATGAAGAACAAGGGATCTGTACTGATCATGTTTTGTGCTGTGGAGTTATCCTTGGTTGTAGTAGCTTATCGCTACCCTCATTTGAGGACTCCATAAAGGGTAAACTACATCTCCCTGCTCAGAGCTGGGAATTCCCAGGGTATGTGAGAGCCACGCTTCCCTTCCTCTGTCACCATGGCTATATTGCATGTAGCCATCACTGTAGCTAAAACCCTTGTGAAACACGGGCTACATCAAGCAGAAGTGATACCATGCATAAAAAATAAAGATCATGCTGAGACCGGTTTGGCTCAGTGGATAGAGCATCCGCCTGCGGACTGAAGGGTCCCAGGTTCGATTCCGGTCAGGGGCATGTACCTTGGTTGCGGGCACATCCCCAGTAGGGAGTGTGCAAGAGGCAGCTGATTGATGTCTCTCTCATCAATGTTTCTAACTCTCTATCCCTCTCTCTTCCTCTCTGTGAAAAATCAATTAAATATATTTATATATTAAAAAAATCACGATAGGTGGGTGTGTGCTCACTGAAGAACAAATATGAGTTATACTGTGGCTGATGCTAAACCCTGCAGTATGCTAAACCCAAACCCAAGTACTGTAGTATCCAGTAGATTACTGCTTGCATTTCCTGAACTTCAAGTGACCACCAGTTGCCTAAGAAAGAGGACCAAAGCCAGATAAAGGGTCTAGGATATATTGATGCCAAACTGTGTTCTTTGAGGACAGATACACTGGAGCATTTATGAGATCAGATGACAGCAGAGCTTCTCTAGCATATTCCTTTGAAAATACATTGAGAGCCCTGCTGTGTCCCCTTCTGAGAGGTACTAGCTGCCCGTTTACAAAGATATTGAGTGATAAAATGGGAACGAGTGTGGGCAGTGCTGAAACCTATAAGTGTGGGTGATGATGGAATAAACTTGGATATGACTGGGATGAATATAAAATGTTAAGTATTATACTGGAAACATGCCAGTTTGTTAATAACAAGACCCCCCACCAAAAAAAAAAAATGTTTTACCAGTGATCAGAATAGGCTTGTGTCCTGACTAAGGAGACAGGACTCTGCTGCAGGCTGTGTTTTCCTTCCATTAGTTCCTTCCTCTCCAGGTAAAAACAGAATAAAACTATTGGCTGACAGACTGGCTTCCCAGCTTTCTCCCACCTGACTTTCTTGTAGCCTGTCTTTTGAAGATGATCAATTACCCTGAGAGAGCCCCCTGGTTCCTGTCAGAGTTTCTGCTCATTTTTTAAAAGACGAAACACTTCCACTCCCACCTCCCTTCCTTCTTCTCCTCCTAGAAAAGACAACAAAATCTGCCAGTATACTGGAAGAATCTCTGCAGGCTTTTAAGTAGAAGGCTGATTACTCCCCAGGGATCACACCCAGCCGCTGCTACGGTGAGCTGAGTGCTGTTCTCTGTGGGCTGACCTTGAATCACCTGGATGTTTCGGAAGGAGTAGTCAAGAGGGGGCTCTTGCACCGCAGTGTTCATGTAGTCCTGTCTGCTCATAGCTCAGGCCATAATTTGTCCGGTGTGAGCATGGGCCCTGAAGTCCGGGTTCAGCCTGGGAGGACAGAGAAGGGCTGGTGTTCTAGGAACAAGGGGCACAGGCCCTCAGGTTTCCCCAGTGCCCTCCACCCCTGCTTCCTACCCTCTGTACTCCAGGCTTGCCTGGCTGCACTTATATTTTAAGATACTAATATGATTCTTTTCAGTTGTAGGGCACTTCCTACTTCTCAGAACACTTTCACATCCCTTAGAGCTCACTGATTGTTATAACACCCATTTCTACTTTCCAGATGAAGAAACTGAGACCCAGAGTGAAAGAACTTGCCCAAAATTAAGCCAGTGAGTCAGTTGTGGACTGTAACAGTCTTCTGAATCCTACTCTGAGGCCCTCTCTGCTACTCCACAGAAGTTACCATGGAAATGGTTTTGCTGCCTATCCTCTAGTGACATCAACTGGGTTATTCTATTACTTAACAAACCCCTTAGGGCATTGTGTCTGATCCCCCTTTTGCAGTCTGATCCAGCTCAGAATTTGCTACTTTCTCTGTCAGGCCCCACTGTCTTTTCATCCAAAGTCCCTAATTTCAGCCACATCCCAAATGTAGTCAAATGTATGTAAATACACACATAAAACCAGAATCTATCTCACTCTCACTCACCTGTCACTGAGGCCTGAAACTCCACCATTATGGATTCATTCCTTTGGGTTCAGGGATTGTTCCCTGTTAAAATGGAAATACCCCTTGAGAGGGGTGAACACAATGTTATCAGTCGTTTACAAGTGTGGTGTAAATTGTCTTATCAGATCCTTTCCAATTTGCTGGCTCAAGTAAAGCTGAGAACTTTTCAACAGGCTGAGCAGAGCCATAAGAACACTATCCACCTGATCAGAACAGCTGAAAATATAGAAGGGTTTTGTATGTGACACAAATAAGACAAATGGACTGACAAGGACAAGTATATTTCCCAAGGAACCTCCCCTTTTTCACTCTATCCATCGCCATCACCTCCTTTGCATTTACTTTTTCATCCGGTTTCCAAAGGGATTTTAGGTAGTTTACAAATATACATTCAAAACAGGATGATTTGTAGAAAAGAAATGTCCAGCCTGGCCAAAGAAATGTCCAGGTGATTCAGTGGATTGAGCATTGTTGATGCACCAAAAGGTCACTGGTTTGATTCCCAATCAGGGCACATACCCAGGTTACGGATCCCCAGTACTGGGTGTGCACAAGGCAGCTGATTGATGTTTTTCTCTCATCAATGTTTCTCTCTCCCTCTCCTTTCCTCTCTAAAAAATAAAAAAAAAAAATTTTAAAGAAAAAAACTGTCCACAGAAATATAATGGATTTGCCAAGACCGGTTTGGCTCAATGGATAGAGCGTCAGCTTGGGGACTGAAGAGTCCCGGGTTCGATTCCGGTCAAGGGCATGTACCTTGGTTGCGGGCATATCCCCAGTAGGGGGTGTGCAAGAGGCAGCTGATCGATGACTCTCTCTCATTGATGTTTCTAACTCTCTATCTCTCTCCCTTCCTCTCTGTACAAAATCAATAAAATATATTAAAAAAAAGAAAGATATATAATGGATTTCACAAATGCAAGCCACATATATAATTTTTTTCACATAGGTAATATAAATTTTTCTAATAGCCAATAATAAGAAAATCAAAAGAAACAGGGAAAATTAAATTTACTTTTAATTTTTAATTTTAATTTTTTAAAATATATTTTATTAAATATATTTTATGCTGAGCAAACCGGTTTCAGCTTCCTTTTTTTTTTTTTTTAAATATATTTTATTGATTTTTTACAGAGAGGAAAGGAGAGGGATAGAGAGTTTGAAACGTCAATGGGAGAGAATCATTGATCAGCTGCCTCTTGCACACTCCCCACGGGATATACCCGCAACCAAGGTATATGCTGTTGACCAGAATCAAACCTGGGACCTTTCAGTCCGCAGGCTGGTGCTCTATCCATTGAGCCAAACCAGCCAGGGCAGGGAAAGTTAAATTTAATCATATATTGTATTTAACCCAATATATGCAAAATATAATTCAATATATAATATTAAAAACTGAAATATTTTACACTTTATAGCACATCCCAATTTGGACAAATTGTCGAGTATTCAATAGCTACATGTGACTAAAGGCTACCATACTGGACAGTGTGGATGAAGAAAATATAAACATGGAAGGGGAAGATTAGAAACCAGATTAAAGGAAGACAGAGATGTACCAAAGAATTAGGAAAGTAGGCCTATATTTAGCTCTGAAATTCCTGACAAAGCCAAAAGGGAAACATTAGGATATGTAATTCTTGCCAACATTCTGTCCACTGAGCCAAATGGTTAGGGCTGATTCTCATCATTTGATTCAAAGAAACAAATAGTCTGTATGCAGAAACAATTCACAAATGTTCTTAATATGAAATTTCTTTTAAAAACTATAGAGTTGAGCCTGGCTGGTGTGGCTCAGTGGTTGAGTGTACACCTCTGAACCCATTGGCAATGATTCAGTTCCAGGTCAGGACACATGCCTGGACTGTGGACTCAATCCCCAGTGGGAGGCAACCAATCAGTGATATTCTCTCATCACTGTTGTTTCTCTCTGAAATAAATTTTTAAAATATTTTTAAAAAACAAACTGTGGAGTTGATAGTTTGTAATTCAGTTTAAGCTACACACAGTTTAAGTAAATTTTTTTTGTATGAACACATGCAAAGATAGAATTTAACAAGTTTTGAGCAGGGATTTCAACCCTTTTCATTTCATGATATGCACAAACTAATTACTAGTTCTGTGGCACACCAAAAATATATATTTTTGCCAATCTGACAACAAAGCAAAGCAAATATATTTCTGATTAATTCATATCAGATGGTTATTATGTTGGCTATTGCCATTTTTTAACTTAACAATCTAAGGGTTGGGGAGGGAGGGGATGTGAGGGAGAGAGGGGGGGCAAAAAAAAAAAAATATATATTTAAAAAAAAAAAAAAAGACTGAAGAAAGGACCTCTTTTCCACTATTTCGAATGCTTAATAGCTAATTTCATAACATCACATGTACCATTTTAAGAAAGTGATGATTTAGTGGGAAATTAATGCTTTGCATCTGTATACTGTAAATATAAATGACGATTTGTTTGAAATGTGTAACTTGGATATGCAAAAGATAATAACTCACAATGTTAATATTAAATATTCCTTCAAAATAAAAAAAATTAAAAAAATAAAAAAAATAAAAAGAAAGAAAAAAAAATCCTTTCCTATGAAAAACAAAAAACAAAAAAAACAATCTAAGGGAAAAGAGGTCAGTGTCCTTGACTAAAATAGTCAGGTATTGCATGTTTTTAAAATGTTTGCAGCACAACAGTTGAAAAATCTCTGGTTTAGAGGAATAAAGTGAATGGCTTCTTCTCAAAAAGCAGCAGTTTCAACTGAGCTTTGGGAAGTACAGGCTTGAGTCAATTACAACTGAACTCTGTCTAATGTGGGACTAGCCAGGTGAGCATGGGGTGTTGATTAGGGAGATCTGGATCTTTTAGATGTCAAATCTAGAGTGAGACAACAAAAAATTGTTTCTTTTGTAGAAACAGAGGAACCTTGTGTTCTCATCTAGACAGAAGCCCATTCCACTTGGGAATCTACAACAGGTTTGATGCCTCTGAGCAAGATTGGACACTTTTCTCAAAGTAAGACCTCGGTTGGGACCCCAGAGTTCTGTACCACTGAACATGAATTTTAGCTTAAAATATTTAAGGGCAGATTTTTTTAAATAAAATATATTTTATTGATTTTTTACAGAGAGGAAGAGAGAGGGATAGAGAGTTAGAAACATCGATGAGAGAGAATCATCAATCAGCTGCCTCCTGCACATCCCCTACTGGGGATGTGCCCGCAACCAAGGTACATGCCCTTGTCCGAAATCGAACCCGGGACCTTTTAGTCCGCAGGCCGACGATCTATCCACTGAGCCAAACCGGTTTCGGCATGAGGGCAGATTTTTATCATTAGTCTCCTTGACCTTCGATTACCTCAGTGCGGTTCCTAAGGACTTCTGATTTAGTGTATAGTACTGGCTGCATTTTTCTGGGTTAGTTCGTATTAAAAATGGAGCTCGAAGTATTCAGATAAATTTGCCAGTTGGAAAGGGTTATTAACCTTCTCCATTTAAACAGTAGTCCTGTGAGCCAGTATCATAGAACCTGGCTTATTACAACAGGTACTCAGGAAATAACTGAAAAAGATGGATGAGAAACTGCCAAATACAGGATCTCTGTTTTAGGAGTGTTGATACTAAGCTACTTGTTCTAACAATTAGCTTTGAGGTTCAGCTGTTTCAGTCCACACTTCATTCACAGTAAGATAATTCAATTCAATTCTGTAAACATTTATTGAGTGCCTGCCGCCCTGTGCCTGACCAGAAGACCGGAAGCAAAGATACAGATACTAGAACCCTGTCTGTCATGAGCACAGAAAGACCTTGCTGGGTTTCTACTGGTTTCGGCAAAATGGCCTGCATCTAGTTCTCAGAAACAGTTGCCTACGTAGTGAATATTCTTCTGTTTCAATACTCAGCTCTAGGGAATCCTCTTTGGTGAACACTTTCTTTCCCGGTAAAATGGATCAATGAGTCCTGTGGTAAATTGATTTCTTTGATGATTCCTATTTATGGTCTCCCTGCTCCATCCCTTTTGCTCTCTTACTTTTAGTTGTTTGGAATACAGTTTCTTCCTCCTTTTGCCTGGCTAATTCATGACCCAGCTCAGTTTTCATCTTTTCTAAGGCGCCCAATCTTATGCCCAAATCTTGGATGTGGAACTTCTCTTCAGAGCTCCCAAAATACCCTATTACTTACTGCCATGGCAGCATACATATCATTAAGATGATCTGCTAACTATTTGTATGTCCATAAACACCATTGTGACCTGCAGAGCAGGAACCATGTTTTTCTCATAATTGTATTCCTACCTGGTGGCAAGTAGTAGGTGCTTAA